AGCCCTTGAGGTAGCCTGGGCTCCCAGGTTCCCGTGTCTATACTGTAAAGTGCTTCGCTGCAAGCGTAACCTCCTTCTGTTTCTTGGTACTTTAGGCTTTTGAAATGTAAATCTGCATAATATTGATAGATTATAATGCCAAGTTAACACCATATATCCAATGTTCTCGGTGCGGGAAAAGGCTCTTTACTTCATTCTAGATAAAAAGTAAGCTTAGAAATTCAAAGACAATTGATAAAATTTAAGAGAAAATATTAAGAGAAAATATTAATTTGAAGGCAAAGAGATGAATACTTTGACGCCCTCACCACGTTGAAACTGTTGGATAAAAACCACAAACCAGATCCGAAATTCAAGTGATAGATAGTACGAGAGGCAAACCACGACAGTCAATGTATTACGGCGTACACACCTTGCCCCTGTCAAGTTTTGCTCTGTTCACGTTGCCATTTCTTCGCAGCATGAAAAATATCTTTAAGTCTGTCTCTTCGTTTTCTTAAACCTTAACTCTTTGAACCTAGCGACAATGGTGCTTCCATCAGATGCACAACTTTCATACACCACACACAAATGTGATAGTGATGGTGTTTAAATGAAATATTGAACATGAGACTGTTTTAATATACTTAACACGGTACCCCTCTTTATTCGCTACTAATAGTAGCACTATGAAGCAACAGTTTCGTCATTGGATTGTCTCATCCATTTCTGTTGGGGTTTTCCCATTCCCGAAAATGAAACAAAGAAAACACAGGGTACATGTTTTGCTCGTTAATTACCTTTTTTACTTGCTTAATGTTGTTTTAATCTGTTCTTTGAACTACGCCATTGTACAAAGCTGTACTAAGATGCACCTTAATTTTTCTGTAGGTGTTACTTTGTTTGTACATTGGCACACGGGAATTTACTAGCACTGTGTGATTATTTGCTTGGTTGACTGGCTGATTGGTTAGTTGGCCGCTTGGTTGCTTTGTTGCATGAATGCTTGGATGGTTGGTTACTTGTGGCTGGTTGGATGGTTGGTTATTTGGATGGTTGGTTGTTGACTGGCTGGTTGGTAGTCTGGTTGTTAATTCGTTAAGACTGACTTGTAACAGTTAAGTCAGGCTCACTGATCTGCGTGTCCTTACAAACTCTGAAAAGGTGTAACAAATAAGGGGCATTTAGAGGTAATCCCCTGCGTCTTTTGGTATATCCCACCCACCCCTCAAAAGGATCCCAGAACCCACATGGGGAAATGTATAAATAAAAATAAATAAAGAATTTTATTGATATTTTTGCTTTAAAAACATGATAATACAAGTGTGATTTGTATACAGGAAACAAACAAGACAGCCCCTGAAAAAAAGCCCATTGGCGTCTTTTGGAGCCAAAATTAATATCATATTTTCTGGGAAACACGGTATTACAGTCAGTGTTCAGGGACAACAGGACCCGGGGCCTGGGTGTCAGTAAAGCCCCTCCCCCCTCCCCTCCCTTTTCCTCTTTTTAAGTTGTGTGTGTGTGTGTGTTTTATGTTTTCAAATATATCATTATATTTATTTGCCATTCAAAACATAATTAAAACAATTTGCTTGGCAAGAAAGAAGCAAAATGCAGAAAACTGTAGAGAGGTTACGTATGAGAGAAAGCCATCCTCGGTGTAATAAGAGTTGAAACTTAGTTGCGTGTCCTTTACATGACGTTGCAAAACCAGCCACAGAATTTGTTGGCTCTTGTGGTTTTTCTAGGCACATTTACGTTCAGTAGTTTCCGCTCCCTGGACGGTCGGCTTCTCGATACCAATGTCGAAACCAACGCAAAGCGCAAAGCCCGCATTTGGGATCAAACCCGGCACCCCGGCATTAGGAAGCTCGTTCTCAACACCTAAGCCACAGACGCCGAGACTAGTAGTGTCAATGTTTTATGTTGACTGTGTGGCATTGGGCTTTACAGTCATAGCAGATGGACGCTGTTTCCAAAACCAGGGGCATAACTCCATGCTCCCCCAGGAACTGACGATTGCCTAATATATCATCATCATGTAGCAGGTCCTTTGCAGAAAGTCTGCCTGAAAGAAACTCGGTCTCTCGACAGTTCTCCCGCCTCATACATTTTCACACTCAAGGAGTCACAGCCAATCTTCGTGTCGGTCGGCCCCTGCCCCTCCTTCCTGGTACCATGCCTTCTGCTATAAATTTTTCCAAACCGTCGTGATATGACTAAAATTCAACTTTCGAGAAAGGATGCTGTTTATTAGCCAATCTTTCTTGGTGTTCAGATCTTTTAAGATGTTAATATTTCTAATCTTTTTTGTCCAAGATATTTTGAGAATCTTGTTATAGCATTTCAGCTCAAAAACCCTATTCTCTTTCTTAAGGACTGAGAGATAGTCCACGACTCACATCCGTATGTAGCCACAGGGAAGATGCATGCTCTCAAAATTATAATTTGTATCTCCTTGCCGGTGCTTACCCATAGACTTTTAAGGCTGTTCAATCTTTGCATTGCTATGGCCATTCTCCTTTTAATTTCTGTCGAACAGTCTCCATTGTTGTTTATTATAGAGCCTAGATATTCAAAGTTTGTGACATTTTCAATTTCTTCATTATGTATTGTTATTTTTGGGTGACAGCCAGTTTTATCTGTGGACGTTATTTCCGTTTTCTTTAAATTCAAGAACAGATTTTGATCTTCACTGTGCTGTGTGTATATAATACTGTGTTGTTATTTGAAACAATATTTTTCTTGAGTGTATTAGCACAGTTTAAGCCCAACCCCACGCGCCTAAAAGATAATAGCCGGTGCAAACCCTTCCTCAGTGATTGTTCTAGGATGACGCCCCTGTCAATGACACAACAGCAAAGTTAATGTTTCTATCCCCTGTTGTAGAAGTCAATGATACACTAATTTTTTTACGGTCAACTGTTACTTCACGCATTCCCTGTTTTATATATAATACATACACTTTCCACGCATTTCACGTTGCTGGTGAACATTGTCAACACATTTTATATTTCAAATATGAATATTTCAATTTTACTTTTGCTATAATGTATAACTATGCATCATTGTACATATTTGCTAACCTTCTTTTAATCAAATCATAAACTTTTTTATCGAGTGTTTTCAGTTTTATGAGTTTTCTTATTTGTTGAATAATATCATGATTGTTTGTTGAATAAAATCATGATTGTTTGTTGAATAATATCATGACATTATATGGAAGTCAAGGCGAAGCCAAGTGTTTTGATGTAAATACTTGATTAGTCAGTGCCTGGCGCGATCTCCTAAAGACGAGAAAAGGGGGAGCTTTTTGATGTAAGAAGGATTCAGTTCACCTTGTAGGGAGGGAAGGCATGTGTAGAAGGAGAGTGAGAGCGAGTTACACAGACACAGTTCGGTCGTTTTGCCTCTCCAGGCTACTAGATAAATGTTTACCATACCATTGTGAGATAAAGCTGTCAATCTAAACAGTATCTGTTGCTGTTTAAACAATGGATCAACATCATGGCACAAGGGTGGTAACCCATGGGTGCTCCGTTCTACTTCTAGCTGAAGCCTGAGTCAGAAAAATCTTAGCGCAGTGCACTAACAACGCAGCACCGGCGAAAATCCTGAAATACTTTGGCTATATTTGTAACTCCAGATTTTGCCCGTGCAGCGCCGTTAGGCTACTCTTTTCGATTTCCAACTGCCAGGGGATTTTTTACGTGCGCATCAAACGGTAGATCAACAGGTGGGTCCAAGATACCCTGTTTAACCTCCAAAGAGGTAATAATTAGGGCATCTGTACGACTACACGAGTCAGGTGTGTCACCTGCAGTCATATACGGGTAAATTACGACAGACAGAGACACAGGGGTGGGGATCGTTAAACATCTTTTGGGTAACGTCTTAAACTAGTCATGCACAAGCGCGAGACAAAATTCTCGAAACTCCAACTCTTTTATACTTCACCTTTGTTGTAAAGATGCACCTCGTTGGTTTGACCTGTTGACAAAGCTATCAGACCTGTATCAGTACAGGACATAAATTATAGAGGCAAGTATGCCATGGGGAGAGGAGAACAGAGGAGTGTTGGTGATTGTGTGTAGATAAGGTACACAGATAACAAGGTGAACCTCGTAGTGGTAGTAGCTGTAGTAATAATAATTATAATTAGTAGTAGTAGTAGTAGTAGTAGTAGTAGTAGTAGTAGTAGTAGTAGTAGTAGTAGTAGTAGTAGTAGTAGTAGTAGTAGTAGTAGTAGTAGTAGTAGTAGTAGTAGTAGTAGTAGTAGTAGTAGTAGTAGTAGTAGTGGTGGTGGTGGTGGTAAATGGTATTAGTAGTAGTGCGCCCTCCAGCCCTTCCCCTAAAAAATGGAAGGGGGGAGGTGTCTCAAAGGATATGAGCGCCCAGGCTTCGTCCCCTCCAACAATGCTACATGTTTGACCTCTAGTGTTATCCACAAGCCATCGTATCTAACACGCTGATAACGGAATAACAGCAGACCTAGCTTTGTAGCAGTGTCACCACTTTCTCTTGACAGGCATACCACGATTAATACATCACTGCTAATATCAACTTCTGTAAATAATGTATTTAATGAATGTTGACAAATGTTCTATTCCTCTCTTCATATTCGTATTCATTCTTCTTTCATTGAATTATAATTTTCACGTCGGTTGCGTGACCTGGGAGTAAAGCATGGTAAAGTACGTCTGTGTCGCCTTCTAGATAGAAGACAATATAACAATTTTCCATGGGAACCTATCACTAGAGGTACCCTGGAGTGGCTGCTGCACCAGAAGACTGAGCACGCATGGCTATGACCAGTGTGCAGTGACGTCGAGTCTGATAACACAGATTATTTGTTTCAGCTGATGTTCACTTTGAAGTTTTTAATTGCCCTGTAAGTTATCTTCCCTGATGATCAAACGACACCCACCTGTCCAATAGATGGCGACAGTGTTGCCAGATATCCGCTAGTGCAGGTAGATGGTATAAACTTTCACACACACAGAGCTTCTTCTTCCGCCATGAATATTTTCGTCTTTGGCGGAATTTTGACCTCTTTGCTAACTCTGGGTAAGAATAATAGTTTCTGAATGTTTACTTTGTGCATGAATATACAGGTAACTCGTTAACAAAGCTTTCCCAAGTTCAAGTTGTAACACCTGGTCTATGTAAAAATGACAATGACGCTCAGGTGTGCAGCAACCAGGAAATGACCGTGTTTATGTCCCCATTTTTGTTTTAAGTCATTCGTATACTATCATTTCTTTTACTAAACTCCTGGATTCGATTTGCAAGAAATTCAACAAATATTTAAATTTTCATAAACCATTCACTTTATTCAGACATGGCTGAACAATATAGTGATTGTTTGTTTGCTGAATGATATGATAAAAATAAAGTAAAAATCAAATCAAGGCAAAGGAACATTGATGATTAAAAAAAAGGGCACAGACAGACACTCAACATATGCCACACACAGCATGTGACATTACACACCTCTTGTGTAACTGTATTTTATGATAACACTAATAGTAATAATACTATTACTATTACAGCCAAAGAAGATGAATAAACCAAAAACACAACTGGACTGGTGTCAGCAGGCGCTACACGCTGCGAGATTTACTGAGGGGGGGGATCCAAGCATATGGCCTGAGTTGTTAAATGTGCAATGACGTTAATCTGTCAACTAAATATTAATAATAGAGAATTCAATAGAAGTATAAGTAAACAAAGACCTAGTCTACATCTCATCTTTGCTTCCTTAGACGTCATTTCATTGATGACAGGAAGGCTGTAGATAGAATATAACATGACTACATGATAAACACGCAAATCTGTGATCTCAGAACTGAGCTAAGATCTTAGACTTCTAAAGAACACATACAGGAAACAGCATGATGTCATAAAAATCAGTACTGATGTAGGTCAGTGTCAACAGTCAAAAGGTGTGGAACAGTATATGTAGCGTACAGATCTTGTTTACATTTTCCCTAAAAGTAAAATATAAAAGAAGCATATAGTACAACTGGAAATCATGGATGGGTGCATGTATTCAACAATATAAAATAATGAGATGACTCTATATTAACTGCAGACAGTAAGCAGGATCTGTAGTGTTTAGTTAGTTAGTCAACAGATTATCCTCATTGCACGTTGAACCACTCAGTCCATAAGTGCTCGGATCCCCTCCTCAGTCAATCCTGCAGTGTGTAGCAGCTCACGATGCCAGTAATGTGTGGTTTTCTAATTCTTCTTTGTTGTTTAATGCCTGTAGTGATCACACAGCGAGAGACCCAGCTGGCAACCTGGACAGTGTAGATAGGATTGACATTTCCTTCGAAGTTGGAGTGCTTCTGGCTGAGAGGCCAGGAATCAACAGTTTACAGATAAGCCAGATCTGTAAAACAGATGTGCATGCAACACTCAAGTCCTGGAGCAAGTCTTGAAGCGAATGGACAACCTTGACTTTCTATCAGAGTTTACAGCTGGTGACAGTGAAGAAGAAGGAAATCACTGAAATCACTCCATGTTCGGGGGGGGGGGGGGGGGGGAGTAGACCCACTCATTAGGGGTATTTTCTTTAAATTCTGGATGCGTCTGCCAGAGAGGTGAGCAACCAAATGAGCCAGATATATATGATGGATGTGTCTGCCAGAGAGGTGAGCAACCAAATGAGCCAGATATATATGATGAATGTGTCTGCCTGAGAGGTGAGCAACCAAATGAGCCAGATATATATGATGGATGTGTCTGCCTGAGAGGTCAGCAACCAAATGAGCCAGATATATATGATGGATGCGTCTGCCTGAGAGGTGAGCAACCAAATGAGCCAGATATATATGATGGATGTGCACGCACATGTCTAGTTCTGGAACAAACCTAACGTCCAGAAGTGGATGAACAACCAGAACTTTCTGTAAGAGTTTCCAGCCAGGTGAATGTCAAGAAGATCACTGATTGGATATTAGCTCTTCTCATTCAAACCACAACTGTTGTATGATGGTAAATAAATATACAGATATTGAATTTTTGTGTTCATCAGCTGTAAACTGGACGAAAGTTCTGGTTGTTCATCCACTACTGAACTTTTGTCCTGTTTCTGAACTTGAGTTTGGCATGCACGTCTGTTTTACAGACCTGGCTTTTTTTTCTTTTTTTTTTTTTTTTATACAGACTTTTAGTTCCTCACCTCTCAGGCAGAAGTACTGGAAGGAAAAATCCCTAATTAGATACATTTAGTGACTTGCTTGTTGGCATGGGGGTAGGTCCATTCCATCTCCTCCCCACAATGGGAGCCCTGGAACCCACGTGCAAAGTTTATCATTGCTTCACTGGCCTCAAGGTTACTATTTCTTCGTGCTCGCACGCTAAAGTTTCGGTTGCTCTTGCACTACTGGACTTTGGCCCTGTTCAGAACTGCAGTTTTATTTGTATGTAGACTATTGGTTCCATACCTCATTGCTGAAACAGTCCAACTTAGAAACACCAGTCAGGTAGTCACCTTTAATGACTTGTGGGGGTGGGGGGGGGGTGAGACAGTGGGGCCATTCTCCTTCCCCCCACAAAAGGGCCCCAGAACGCACTCGGGGAGTTTATCATACCATTCTACTGGCCTCAAGGGTTTTTCTATGACTTGTTGACTTTGTCTGTGCAGACATTCATTACTTTAACCCTTTGTATCTGAACTAATGGTTAGTTGAATCTAATAAACGCTGAGTCTAAATGATCCCGTTGAATTTAAAGTGCGTGCCTAACAAATGGGTTAGAGTGGGTTTATGCAATAACTGGGTGGGACCTTATTAGTTCAGAAAAGTATATCTCATAGGGCAGGGCTCTTTAGTTAAGTTAACTCAGGGCCCAAATGTTGAAAAATCTGGATCGTTGCGGGTCAAAGATCTGTAATGCAGCATAGAAAGATCATTATTACAATATAGTTGGCAGGTGATCCACGGGCTCTAGTTGAGTAGCCTTGTTTAGGGGATTTCTCATAAACAATAGGGATAAACAAATAGCTAACCATTTGAGAACGCGTGAATAATAAAACTGTCAAAAAGATTGCACAGGAACAACCCGTTGTACTAGATTTATTGAGAGACGGTAGATCAAGTGGTTTGGCAGTCTCGTTAAAATGCAGCAGTATCAAATACCATAGCCATAGAATGGGAGAAAATCGGCAGACATGAGAGGCTAAAAATCAGACCACTGGGGTGACCCAGGGTCCACTGGAAAGACTAAATCTGACAGTCCCTGACTGAAAGAGGACTGGAATGGCACAAAGCCAGAAAGAAAACTGCTGACAGAGAAGTCTGGCGATCTCTCTTGCAAACTCTACACACCAAGGTAGAAGAGGAGCGACTCAGTAAATATCAAATACCATCATCGGCGCTACATCTCAAAAGACAACCATGAAAAATATGGATCAGCAACAATAAAGACACTTTACGGCTTCACAGCATGACAGTTATCAATGCCAGCCAGCATGTACTTGATTGCAAATTGTTCCTCTCCATCACACTTAATGACAGAAATGGTTTATGATGATGATGATAGGGAGTTGCTTACTACTTAGTTCTGGAAATGGGCACAGCTTTTATGTAATTAATATACAATGTAAATGCATTAAAAATATTGTTTGCTATAATAGATTAAAAATTCCTAGTATTTTAGACTGTTTTTTGCTCTTAAGGCTATACTAATAACCCTCCACAAGGAAAGAAAATAGAGGAAAAAACAGCCAACCCTCCCTCCCGAGAAGGTTAACCCTCTCGGAGGGAGAGTGAAAGTTCATAGCAGGGAAAGATTGGTTGTCATGGGTATTTTTGTCTTAATACTTGTTTGTTTTGAATGTTTAGCATCAGGTCTTCAGTGTTACCAGTGCCAGACACTTGCCTACAAAACGTGTCGTGACCCCTACGCCGGTGAAGACCTGGGTGACTGTGATGATGGCACCTTGTGTACTAAGTTTAAAACAGTGGTCAAAATCAGAGATTCTGGTTATATCACTGGATGGGAAAGAGGTGGATGGGAAAGAGGTCAGTATTATGCTTGGGTTTACTGTTTTGAATCCTGGTGTCTTTGTCCTCTTACTGAATGTGCTTTGGGTTTACTTGCCTGCACATCGATAGTTTGAATCCTGGTCAAATATTTGTCCATTACTGAATGGTCTTGTTTTGCTATTTCTTTTTCTGTCCTGCATTTATCTATAGTGTTTATTATGTTTAGAAATGTAAGTATCTGGGCACATGGATAACATCAGATGGAAGATGCATTACTGAGGTAACAAACAGAATAGGACAGGCAAAAACTGCATTTATCTATAATGTTTATTATGTTTAGAAATGTAAGTATCTGGGCACATGGATAACATCAGACGGAAGATGCATTACTGAGGTAACAAACAGAATAGGACAGGCAAAAACTGCATTTTATAAAATAAAAATCTTATGCAATATATCTCTGTCATTGAAGGTTAGAAAAAGAATTCTTGCTTGCTACATATATCCAGTTTTAACATATGGCTGTGAGTCCTGGACAATCGGTAAGCAGGGCAAACAATTTCTTGAGGCCTCAGAGATGTGGTTTTACAGAATAATGCTTAAAATACCTTGAACAGCCAAAAAGATCAGCCAAGAGGTTTTGAAAGAGGTGGGAGCCCGAAGACAATTTATCACAGACATCAGAAGGAGACAGACATCTTTTTTCAGCCATGGTATGAGAAGAGGGAAAATGGAACATGTTGTGACCACTGGAAGGAAGGAGGGATAGAGGAAGACAACGAGAGAAGATTCTTGACAGTCTTGTTGCATGGCATGGAGGTGTGTCGGCACATGAATTGATACATGCTGCAGGAGAACGTGGATTGTGGAGAGGCACGAACGCCCACGCCAGTTGGCAAGGCACCTGATGGTGATGATGTTTACTGTATCTTCTTCAATCCTGAAGTCTCATTTATTAACTATTTTCTCATCTGTCCTGAAATGTATCTATTATGTTTACTGTATCTTCTTCAAATCCTAAAGTCTCATATGCTTACTTTTGTCCTGAAATTTTGAGGTCTCATATGGTTTTTTTTCCTTCTCTCTTCTGTCTTGGGGGAAAGGGGTGGGGATTGATTTAAGTGTCTCCTATGTCTAGTTTATTTTTCTACCCGTAAATTTAAACATTTCTTTGTTTACTCTTTTCCCTTCCACCTTAATCTCTAAAGATCTCTCACATTTACTGTATCCTCTTTCAAAATAAAAATTATCTGTAGAGCATAAAATATTTCATTCACACTATGAAAAGCAGTAGCCTCATAATGAGCATTCATTATTCAATTGAGTGAAAGTTGTGGGTTACAAAAACCGACATCATAGAGCTCAGGACATTCCCATAAGCGCTTTGTCCCCCATATTCAGCATCAAGCTCAGAGTTTCAGTGTCCGATGGTACCAGTAACTGTCTGATTGTGTGTCAGTGTCACTCTTCCCCTGAATGTTGAGTGTCGGGGCAGATCCTGTAGTGGCTCCTCACTGCACCATTCTACTCAGACTGTGATGATCTGTTTGTGCATCTACACTGTTTACTTGCCCCCAAAGGGCCCTTACTGCCAAGTGGTGCAGAATCTATTGGAGTGCCATATAAACAGCAAAGGCTACCACTAAAGGAATTTAAGAAGAATTAATGCAGGTTGAACCTAAGAAAATTATAACTAGAAGGGCTTTACGGTGGAACCGACAGGAATTTTGAAATAAAGGCAGACCAAAATATACAAGCAGAAGGGAATGTAGTCTCAAGAAGACATGGGACAAGTTGCATGTCATAGCAAAAGATAGGTTGACTTGGTTTGAGATGATTAAGGGCGTGTGTTCCACTAAGAGAAAAAGGCCAGAAAAAGACAAAGGACTGTGGATCAGGACTGTTAAGCTGGCAGCCCATTGGCCAAATGTGGCCCATGGATCATTGTCAGTTGCATTAATTATCTTTTTATGCTAGGGCTAGGGTCTCTGACACGTGATGATTACTATTTTCAAAATTTGATCCTGAGTACACTTAGTTTTATAAAGCCTTGAGAAAAAAGTACACACGCTTCAGGATGAAAGGTGTTAAACAAGTTGGCTTGAAAGGAATTGTGGTAACTGGTTGCTAGACACTGGCCTGAGGTCTTTAGTTCGCAACCCCAGATGTGAAACAAATTACTAATTGGCAGTGTAACATGAGAAGAGTCCTACGTGTTTGTGTTTTTTTTTTTTTAAATTGTCTGCAAATAAACAGACAAACTTAAATAATGTAAAATAACACAAGCACTTATATCTTACTTAAGCCGATGTAATGGGAAATAACACAACCACTTTTATCCTACTTTAGCCGATGTAATGTGAAATAATACAACCACTTATATCCTACTTTAGCTGATGTAATGTGAAATAATACAACCACTTATATCCTACTTTAGCTGATGTAATGTGAAATAACACAAGCACTTATATTCTACTTAAGCTGATGTAAAATAACACAAGCACTTATATTCTACTTAAGCTGATGTAAAATAACTCAAGCACTTATATTCTACTTAAGCTGATGTAAAATAACACAAGCACTTATATTCTACTTAAGCTGATGTAAAATAACACAAGCACTTATATTCTACTTAAGCTGATGTAAAATAACACAAGCACTTATATTCTACTTAAGCTGATGTAAAATAACGCAAGCACTTATATTCTACTTAAACTGATGTAAAATAACTCAAGCACTTATATTCTACTTAAGCTGATGTAAAATAACACAAGCACTTATATTCTACTTAAGCTGATGTAAAATAACACAAGCACTTATATTCTACTTAAGCTGATGTAAAATAACACAAGCACTTATATTCTACTTAAGCTGATGTAAAATAACACAAGCACTTATATTCTACTTAAGCTGATGTAAAATAACACAAGCACTTATATTCTACTTAAGCTGATGTAAAATAACACAAGCACTTATATTCTACTTAAGCTGATGTAAAATAACACAAGCACTTATATTCTACTTAAGCTGATGTAAAATAACGCAAGCACTTATATTCTACTTAAACTGATGTAAAATAACTCAAGCACTTATATTCTACTTAAGCTGATGTAAAATAACGCAAGCACTTATATTCTACTTAAGCTGATGTAATGTGAAATAACTCAAGCACTTATATCCTTTTTAAGCTGATGAGGTTGAACAGGACAATATTAATTTATTAAGGACAATCAGTCAAGATCAACAAGTAGTCTTGCATTGAATTTTACACATTGTGTGGTTTAGAGTTGAGCAAATGCCGTTAACAATTTCCTTGTCCTTGAGTACTAGAGTTTGTTCCCTGTGATAGATGGTTTTTTAAAATATTTGCTTTAATGGTTTTTGGACATTAGTATGAGAGTCTGAGCCATGGAAGAGACTAGGGCTTCACCGCATAATTTTCCCAACGATAGTAGTTGAATTGAGAATCGACATCACAGCACTCGGGACACTCCCATGAGCGCTCCATCCCCCATCTTCAGCAGCAAGCGAAGGGTTAAAATTCCGATGGTACCAGTAACAGTCTTATTGTATATGTGTCGAGCGTCGGCCAGATCCCCTTGTAACTCCTCGCAGTGCCATTCTCCGCAGACCATAATGATCTATCTGTTCCTCTGCACTGTTCACTGGCTCTTAAAGAGCCCTCATAACATCCAGCTTGTCATATATCACTTCACCACCAAGTGGTGCAGAACCGGTCAGTCTATCCACCTGCTCATTTCCAACACACCGGCGTCACCTGGAGAAAATATCCAAAGGATGCTAACTACCCGGGACCTCTGAAGTGATGCTTGCCACTCTGTACGGTGCACGCCTATCTCCACCTTTCTCAGCATGCTCTGTGACTCAGGTTCAGTGACGACATGTGTGTACAGCTGATCTCAAGCCAACGGAAGGCAGCAGTGACTGCCTCCACCTCCATTCTCAAACTAGACGTTATGATATCATATGCCACGCTGTTTTGCACCAAGCGATATCCATTCGCCTTTTGCTATGAACCCCCATGCACTTCGTCTGCCCCTCACCACAGTGCCATCTGTATATACAATCACATCTTTTGGGCGGGAATTGTCATGAATCATTTGTTGAACTTCTGATTCTGCAGCAGTAGTATTCTGCAACGATAGTAGTGATATACTGTAGCTAGTCTTCGTTATCGGGACGATACAGACATATTTTTCCCCACAGATATTTTACTTTAAATGTAAAAGTAAGAATTTTACATTTGAACAGGTAATACAAACGTTACATTTGAGATAAGATCAGCAGTTTTGCATCAAAGATTATATAAATACTTTTTTTTATTTTTTATTTGAACAATTCATAGATACTTTACATTTCAGATAAAGATTGTCCAATGATGTTGCATTAAAGTGTAACATTAGAATTTTACATTTAGATAATGAATATTTTACATGTTGACAGATTCACAAGTAGTCACAAGGTCCTGCGAGCCAAAAAAGGGCAAGAAGGAAGGTTGCATCGCTTGGCAAAACAATGGCGGGTTTACTATGAAGTGTTGGTGTGGAACAGACGGATGTAACAGCGGCCGTGCCCTCACGCCTGCGACGAGCTCAATTATTCTATCATGTCTTATCTCTATGCTAGTCTTTGTATTGGTTAGGCTGCATTGATAATGCTGTGAGTGTGAAACTTGGCATCGTGGATGTGTATGTGTGTGAATGGTTGTATGATAAAAAAGTCTTCCGTTTATATTTCTTCAGTTCAGAATTAGTCTATTCAATGTATGCATGATCACATAGGATTTCACATAATGTTGAAAGACGAATTCTGAAAGTATTCTCCTAGGGCAGTTAATTTTTTCAATCCTTGCCTGTGCTAAACAAGGTGCTGCATTAAAAAGTCAATGCCATGAGGTTACTGGGATTTATATTGTGAAATAAACAAAATCTTTCAGATAAAAAAAAATAATGAGTGATATTTTACCATTACAATACATTTTTTTTAAAATTAAGCGGAGCAGAGAGCCATCAGGCAAGCACTTTAGGAAATAAAGAGATTGAGGAAGTGGGGATGACCAAAAGAAACCTGAAAATGAATGTTGATAAGAGAAGCCAAAGGTGCTGGACTGGATCTCATCCATGATGTTAAATTAATTGCAAAGGATAGAATGGAATGGAGTAAAATATTGTGTGCCCTGTTTGACATTTAATGGCACAACAGTACAATAAGTGAAGGAGTTAAATATGCTATGAAATGTAAACAAATTGTAAGAATATAACAGATGGCAGCACAGAAAGAAATATATAGACACATTTAGCTGATTTACCCTTAATTGGTAGCATGGTGCAGGTGTGATGTTTGAAAGTGAAAACTGTATATATTTGTATCAGAGTGCAAGTTTGTAGAGTGTAAGTTGCAACCTTAAATTGGGTAGCTATGCAACATATTTTTGTAAACATTGTGTAACCTCCAGTTATTTGATTTACTGACCCGAATTATATTTTCTGTACATTCACAGTTAATGGTCATAAAAGTGTTTTCCTTTTTTTCCCAGAATTGTTTGTTCTCTTTTCATTAACACTTGGTTGTTGATTGACCACAAATTTGTTTTCCTCAAGTTAAGAGTTGTTTCTTTAGTGTTTTTACGGTTACAGCGTGTTTATTAGTAGTAACAAACTACTGTTTGTACTTTCCAAACATTCCAACGTTTGTCTTTCATTGGATATTGGATGTAATAAACATATCATTTTTATAGTTCTCATTTTGTAAGGTTATATTATCATGAATCTCCATTAATATTATTTTGTCTGAGCTTAGAATGTTATTCATACAGTGGTCCGGTTGATTTCATTGTATAAATGGACCATAAATAAACAATAACTATGTTCCTTGTCGCAGCAGCTTTTTTTCTTTCATGTCATTTATGTTCGTATTTTGTCGTTCTTAGCCAAATGATTCAGAGTTATCAACCCTTGGTTGCAAATACACTTTTTATTAATGTTTTGGTGTAAAGTGTAATTGTTGGCCGCAGATGTTTCTTGTCAGTTTTCTTGAAATTTGAAAATATGCGGCTTTCGTTTGGCATTAATGGTTGTTACACACAGCTAGAGTTGACTCACAATGGAGGCTGGATTTTGTCCCTTTGAATGCTCATTTAGTAATACTATTATTAGCTGAAGCATCTCAGTAGTTCCTGGGCTTAGAATGTCATTTCTTTAGTAGAAAGGATGTTTCTGTTGCCTTTCTATTCATTCTTTTGCATTAGCCATTAAAAAGGTGGCAGGAACACTGTGTTGCGGTCTACAGCGTACACTGTAGTATCTGCCCTCTTCAGTCCAACACATCCTGTCAGCAAACCCCTAATTCATTGTCACTTACTTCATGTTTTTTAGAGGCAGTAGGTCGTCTTCATTCCTCTTCCCCAGGCACAAGATTTGGCCTTGGGACCCACATTGGGACTGTCCAGCTTCATGTATGTGGTCTGTTTCTGTGTGTTTGGTGCATTTTTCTCATGCTGCACGCTCTGTCCTTTTCTGTTATGAACTGTGCTTCAGTAAGTCTGTAAATGGGTTGCTTTGATGAAAAAAATTATATTCTTCTACTACAAAGTTGCAGTATTGGTTGAAGTAGGGTGTGATCAAGTTGTGAGTTGCTCTGCCTACCTCGGAATATATTTGCCATATGCTGTTGTATTAAGTATTTCTAGGGTAGAAGAGACCTACTTTGTTTATTGTAGGCAGGATATCCTGGAATATGAACAAACAAATCAGGTAGTTCTTGAGGGGCCATCGAGAGAAAGGTTACAAATACTTTGAACTGCCAGTAACTAATGAATTTGCTTGAAAAAGGCTTATAGATGTAAAATCTAATACACAAAAATATGAAAGAGACAAGCAACGTTTTTTGGTCATGTAATTAGAAAATTGTGATGGCTAGAAAGGTCAGAAGTAGACTAGAGAGAGAGATCCAAATCCTAGGTAGTATAGACACGAATGCCTGTGCCATTTGGCAAGTGCATGAGGATGCTGATAAGTTTACTCTGGTTCGATCAAATACATTCATCAACATGGTCAGTTTTTTTTTGGTGGCACAGCACCATGGTGTGCAATGTTGGCAGCTTTTACAAGCATCCTTTCTTCAGCACTACTGTAGCAGACATTTTGTTGTGAGTACCTGCAAAATTTTGTGTGTGCACTGAATGTGGTCATTACATTATTCAGGCTGTATAATATTTCTGTAATGTGTATATATATACATGTGTTTGTGTGCATGCATTTTCATTACAGGCAACTTTTGAATCTTCTAAAATCATGACATTAATATTTCTTTCTGATTCATTGTCAACACTGCTGTCCCCTGTAAGAATGTCATCCATTGTATTGTTCCAATTCTCATGATATGCACACACACAAAACACAGTACTTACTGGTTTTCTCCAATGTCTGTTGGTATTGTATATGTTGAAAATTTATTCCAGAGTTGATCTAACTATATTGCCTGACAACTTAATTTTTTTTAGTTTAATTCATATTAGAAATGTCGCTGCAGCTTGGCCAACCAGCAAAGCTGATGTACTGAATATAGTAAAAATGTATCCATGTCACTGAATTGTTCTAGCAGACTCATTGTTCTTCTTTATTTCCTCTTTTACAGCTTCAGTTGTTGAGGGCAATACACAGTTCTTTTTTCACTCTTGTGGCCACCTCAACCATAGATACTTGACGCTAGTGTAGAGTTTCTTCAGTATTATCTGTTCACCTTGCTCTATGTCTCTTATCACTTTCGGTGTTAACTTTGTCCCCAGCCTTAAACTAATATTTAGGCATTTTCTGTAGAACAGTTGAGCAGTTTAAAATCAGACTCAATCACAAAAGCTGTTGAGACATTCCATTTGTATCAATGTATTTGTTATTTATATTTGAACAATTTCACATATAATGATTAATTGTTTTAAAGTTGGATTTCATGAGCAAAATTAATTATATATCTTCATCCTTTCTGTCCAAGACTGACACTGCACTGATTTTCTCTATCCTGAGAGAGATCTGGTGTGACAATGGACAAGAGTTACCAAAAGTATACCATGTAGAAAATAATCAGTAAACATGTAGTGGAGAGCAAGTTTTCAAAAAGTGAACAAATTATGAGAGAGCAATAAACATAATTTACTGCACTTATTTTGTGACTGTTCTTTTCTTGCTCCTCTTTTATCTGTTTTTTGGCATAGAGTTGTATCGAGATCTCGTCAGAGAGTCCCTTTAGTTCCCCCACCAGCCAGACATTGAAATGAAGTTTGTTGATAAATAAATGTATAAATTCTTCAGAAGAAACATTGCTAGCCAGTCCATTTATGCCGTGCTGAATCATGGCTTCCTTACATTCTATTTTGCCTCTATAGATTTTAGTTTTTGAGGAGTGGTTAAAATGCGTAGCTCCCAAGTGGGAAACCCTGATGGGATCCTTGGTAAGGCAAGGGTTTGTGTTTTAGTGGTTTCTAGTTCATTAGGGTCATGAACCTGGGATTTTAGACATGACTAGTGCAGTCACCACAAATTGTTATTTTGTCTCTGACAGATATCATCTGCATCCATTACTGAGGATCAAACCCGGATCTCCTGCTTAATAGCACAGTGTTCTATCACCCGATCAACATAAGTCCCTCTACACTGAATATTTGTACCTATACAACTCTCATGACGTGACTGAAATTTTTTTAACTACACAGCTCTCATGAGGCAACCAAATATTTGTAACTACACAACTCCCACAACGCCACACACTTATGTTTTAAAACTTTGACTGGAGGGACTTAATGCCCTGTAGCAGGGCTATTCAACTGGCAGTTAGCTAGCCAAATCTGGCCGCCGTGACCTCATGATCATTGCCAGTTGTATTGTGTTAATAAACTTTCTATGCAGGGGCTTCAAACTCTGGCCTGTGACGATCCTTGTTTTCAGAATTTTGGCCCATGAGTAATCTTAGTTGAGTAGCCTGCCCTGTAGCATCTAAGAATGCTTTTTGTAATTTTCAGTGACAGGAGCTTCCAACATAAAAGTGGAGATCCTGGCACTGAGGCAAAGTGTTTAGCCCTCTGCCTTGCGCTCTGAGGATTCTGGGTTCATTTCATAGATGCATTGTTCAGTGCCTGAGTGCAATTTTTACAGATCCCTGGGAATCATTGCTGGAGCTTAGGAGTTAGTGTTCTGTGTGAGGCTTTCAGCCAGCAGCAAGTTGTTCTGTGGAGAGAGAGACTAAGTCATATGGGATAACTTGGAGCAATGAAGTTAATCCTCGCAACTGTAACTTAAACATAACAACAGAGATGACTGCAATAGATATCCCGAATTTTAAGGAATCACAATGTGATGCTGGTGCATGCTAGGAAAAGTTTCTAGAATGTACTTGCACTGGAACCCACAGCACAAAGAAACAAAGGTAATTTTTAAAAAATGCAACAGAGATTATAATTGCAAACAGCAGTAAATAAGACTGGGTGAACTGCATGCAAAGGATCCGACTTGGACAATCTGTTTAAAGGCCTTTGTTGCATGGAGGAAAGAGCAAAAAAAATAAATATGTCTAGCTTTATTTGTCTGTCATCTAGGGCCTCCATGGCGGAGTGGTCAGGCCACTGGCCTTGCACTCTAAATGTCGTGGGTTCATTTTACTG